TATTGTACACCTTAAAAAGGTCTACAAAAAAGTTCGGGATGGTATATGTCTATCTCTTAGGGATAACCCACAATAACCATTTTTTATTCTTTACTTTTTACGGGAAATAATTACTTATTTACGAAGCGATTTTAAGCAATACAGCATAATTCCTTACCCAATTAAGTACTTTTAAATACATTGTGCATTTAATATAGATCAGTATGGCCCTTTACAGCATGTAATTTAAATGTATATTTTCAAAAATATTACAGACTTAAAATGCAGGGACATAGCGGTTGCGGCGGTACCGGCCGGTTTGAATTGTCTAACGACAAAAAATTGTTTGATTGTTGTATATAAAGACATTCTATAGTATATTTACTATCATTGCACCCGTGCGAAACATAGTGTACAAATAATACCATTAAATCAATTCCTTAACCCCGGGATAGGGGTATGTTTGTGTGTTTGAAGATGTTTCACTTCAGTAGCGTGTTGTATAATTACACGTTGTATTTTTTTCAGTTTCAGCTGGTATTTATTAGACATGTATTACAAGAATAAAATGCTAATATGTGATGGATGTTTTATTGGATAAAGTTAAAGATTGCTGATTTAGTCTCATCATATGAAACGCATTTACTATCTTCTATTGTCTGGGATAGATTAGATTCCTTGTCATTCGTGATATCGCCCAAGAGTCCTATTACAAAGCTACGGCATTACTTTGGAATCTGATATTACTGTTGACAAATGCTCTGTCTCCCTTTATTACTACATAAGGGTCGGATTATTCTACTTCCGTTATGCCTTTTCCGTCTAATATTAAATTTTTTAGGTGTTCCTCCGGGAATAGTAGTTCTAAACCCGATTAGTTATAGTTACTCTCTACTCGTATGTATCTGGAAAATACTGCTGCCTTTTTTTCATATGATTTGTATTCTCTTGTTTACAACTTACACTCAAATTTTTTATTGTAATTTCCTGAGATAAAAATGTTCAGTCTCTCAGAGTCTTTGAAAGCGAGACTCGAGTCTCCGTCTTTCATCGAGTTTCTCTGGTGTTGCTGAGAGAGTCTGTCAAAAAAACTGTTAAGCGTCTCTGAATGAGAGACTCGAATCTCTCAATAAGTGGTGTCTCGATAGACATGGTGAAAACAGAGATCCCAGTCTTTCTACGAGAGACTCGAATCTCTGAACGAGAGACTCGAATTTCTGAACGAGAGACTCGAATCTCTCAATAAGTGGTGTCTCGATAGACATGGTTAAAACACAGATCCCAGTCTTTCTACGAGAGACTCGAGTCTCTCAATTTTTCAGTTTTATTCATTCAGTCTCTCTGTGAGAGACTCGAATCTCTGAATTAACAATTTTATCGTTCGAGTCTCTCATACAGAGACTGTGAGAGATCCATAAAAACACCTAGGCAATAACTGAGAGACTGTGAGAGGCGATCTCAGAGATGTTGAAAGACTCTGAGAGACTGAAAATTTTTGTCTAGAGTTTTCCGTTTCATCATTTCAAATTATTCGCTTTCTTTTATTAAATTGGCGCGTTTTGTTGTTGTTTATTCACTGAATCATTCGGGTCGTCGTGTAAATATATAAGATAATTTTTGATTCCGAGAATCGGCTTGACAATATCGGTATGTTACAGGCCTAAAGGAAACAATAACTTGGAAATTAAATTATCAATAATCCATGATCATTGAGAGAGTGAGACCCACCCTCGAGCAATTATTAGAGTTAACACGCCTCTCTTTGTGAATAGATCCTTTTACGACTGGGTTCGGTTGCCTTATCTTTTGCTCCCTTATTCTGTTCCCTAGACGCAAAAACTATAGCGGAGATAACGCGGATGGGATAAGTTTGGCAGTCAACGTATTCCCTAGGAGGCTATTAATCAGGAATCGGGGGTCATCCCAGTTATCAGTTGGTTCCGCAAATACAACTTACCCTCACAAAACACCGCCATACGCGAACGCATACAAGCACACACGTACATATAAAGTTTCGTGACTCACACACAAAAACCGATTAACTTTTCTATTTATAGTTATCATCTCTATTCCGCAAGGAATCATAAAAACCCCGTCTGGATCTGATATTGAAACGGAAACATGCATTTTCTGAAAATAATAATGCGCATAGGTACGTCGTCATCGATAAGTACCGCACCCTTTTCATTTATAGAATTGAAAGGGGTTGTAGAGGTAGAATTTATGATGAGTAAAAAAGTAATAGACGCGGAAAACAAGCAATGTACAACTCGACCAACGAATCAACGGAACAACTTTTTTAAATAGTTTGCTTCTTTACTACATTTTAATACTTACTAAATATAAAAATAAGAAACTTTACCACTGTTTATTTCTGATGAATAGAAGATAGTCAAATATCTCTTGATGTTATTTTGCAAACAATAATAGGCTGATTTGGTACCAATGGTCAGGTTCTGCGAAGGTTTTCAACACCAACCACTTTTGTTTATTTTATTATCGATGGTCTTCAAATGTATGCAGGTTATAAGAATTTCATAGGTCGAAGCAGTCATACCTTGTTGGGTTTTCCCCTTATTGACTTTTGGCTCGTATTCCTTCGTTGCATACCAGGTATTGGTGGTGGTACCAGAACAATTTTGGATTTTGTCACATAATGTAAAGGTAGTTACGTTTTGTTCTTCTTCTTGTTAACTCGCGTTTTTAATTCAAATTTTTCTTCGTTGTTCCTGTAGTTGCAATCCGTTATTCATAGTTAATAGTTCATTTGTAAATAAAGTTTGTATATAGTGTTTTTGGTATCGAGGTTCATTCGCTCCGTTTGAGAAAATATTGCTTCTGATTTCACGGCAAACAGTGTTTTTGAATGTTTATTATTGTATTAAGTACAGCAGAACCTCGATAAAATAAAGACTATGGGAAACGTAAAATAATTTGAGTTATTGAGGTTTTTACTTACTAAGGATTAGGTTAAGCCTTAAAATTATGGATTTCCAGTGACTTAGCAAACTTCAGCTTTTTCCTTTAGTATAGGTCCACTAACACTAATGTTTTTACATATTTCTACACTGTCTAA